CCGCAGGCGCGATCAAGTCTTGAGCCAACATAAGTTGGCATGTCATGACTCACCTAAGTGATCACAGGAAAGTGTATTTTTAACACAGACAGACAGACATACATACCTACATACGTACCTACGTAACTACGTACATACGTACATACGTACATACGTACATACGTACATACGTACATACGTCCATACGTCCATACGTACATACATACATACATACATGCATACATACACATACATACATACATACATGCATGCATGCATGCATACACACATACATACATACATACATACATAAATACACATACCTAAATTACATGGCAATCCTTCTAAGGACCTCCCGGAGTACATGGCTTGCAGGGTCGGCACGGCTTGCCAAGAGGGGCTGATGAACGGCTTGCTCTGCTTGGTTTAGGGTTTAGGTCTGTTCTGCGGATGTCCTCTGTTTACTTTTGCTGCTCCTTCCCTGGGGATCCAAGTCTATAATTAAAACCTACTTTGGGCCATAAGTTTAGAAGTTCTACTTTCCGCTGTGTGTATCCATAGGCCTTGTGCTCCTGACAAAATTGTTATTCTGAGCAACGGTACACAAAACCTGTGTCAGTCGTCTGAAGGCTACGGGAAAGGCGGATGGTAACAGCGAAGGGTTTAGGGTTTTAGGGCTTTTAAGGTTTAGGGGTTCTAGGGATTTAGGGGTTTTAAGGTTGTAGGCTAGGGTTTAGGGGTTTTAGGGTCTATAGGGTTTAGGGCTAGGGGGTAAGGGAAAGGGCTAAGATGAAACAAAAATCAGACGCGATGGTAAGCGGTATGGGTACAGGCAATGTTCTGATGGCCAGGGTACAAATGAGGGAATAAGGACCTGGGGTATTGTAACCCTTGGAACCAAGGTCTATAAATCGTACCTTGTCTTTGAGCTCAAGGCTAGACATGACTTCTACTTTAGTTTACTTGGATCCTTAGGGTAAGGGAGAAGGTCTCCGATACAGTGCACAGGCTCACAGGCGCTGGCTCAGGCGCACATGGACGCGCTGCACCACAGGGTAAAATTGAAGGGCGAGGAACAAACAGCTCCTGTCGCGTCATTCACTCAAAAACCCCTGGCCTCACAAGAAGCATCCTCTGCAGAATGTTTGATTGGCAACAACACCATGTGGGCTTTGTTGAATAGGTTCAACTTCTTTTTGAAATGGATTCTATCAAGCCCACCGGCAGAAAGAAGAAAACAGGCCAGCAAAACAAACGGGAATGCAACACATCAAATATTTGTCCTGTGCCGCAAGGATACTTGCAGTTCTTGTGGGACATCTAAACAGGTTGCTTGTACTCTAGAGGCCAATTTGGCACTTCGGACCGAGACGGGGCCACTACACTCTTGATCAAACTTAGAATGCGCTCCACACTGCCAGGCCTGATCGACGGTAAACGGGTTCAGGCTTGAAGTATACGGGGAACCTTACGATTTCGGCAAGTGCTCATTTTCCGAATAATGCTGCAGCCATCCAAGCGCCAAGAATCCCAAAGCAGGAGCGATTCTTTGTAAAGCGGATTTCGAAAACAAGCATAGCATTCCCACATCTTCCAACAGCAGCTGAATTAAATACATGATCTGATTGACATGACACAGGAAATCTTGCTGGCAAGGCACCATTGGAACGAATCGAAGATTCATATACAATACATGTGCGCGTACATACGAGCCGCTAAGACTGCCCGAAACTGTTGGACAAGTAGCTCCTGCCGCTGTTGCTGGTGCCAGTGCCGGTGCTGCTGCTGGTGGTGGAACTGGTGGTGCTGGCGGATGCGTTGGTGCGGGCGCAGGCGGGGGGCGGAGGCAGTGGTTGGTGCCGGGGTGGGGGTGGTCGCGCCAGCGATGTCCATCGCCAGAATGTACTTGTAACTTTAGCGATTTGTGAAACAGCTGTAGCCGTACTTTCACAGAGGCCTAGGTTACGAAAGGTAACCCAACACACCCATGGAAGCAGGAAGCTAACAAACACTTGACTGCGTTTCCTCATATCATCACTGCAGGATTCCTGTAAACCTCCTGTTCAATCCAGTGCGGCTTTTACATGCTCTGCTTGAAGCCGTGCACCTGTTACAGCCCTTACAACTCATGAAGCTTGTATCACTCTTAGGGTTTCTCCTGCATTGCTCTCCTGGTCAGCTCGTCAAAAGTCTGGTATCTCCTGCGACAGCTAATTACCTTTTAACTAAGGCTTAGGGGTGGGGGGCTACAAGTGGGGTTTACGGGCTGCGTATGCGAGGCCTTGGGGTGCCTAGGAAACAACCGAATCCATATCCCCCGCTACGTGCCATTAAGGGAAGGTCGGCGACTGGAGCATTGATATGGGAGCCAGCATGGACATGCATCAGTTGCCTTCCTCTGCACCCTCAGCCACAATCCCAAACACACAAAACGCTGCAGGCAGAAAGCTCCGCTGTTGTCGTGACATTATTGGTGGACGCAAACATAGCTAACTTCCCTGGCGGCATGTCATTGCCCGAGTATTTTGCAATGCTGATGGTACATGCTTAAAAGTCCCCTATAAGGGTCCAAGTAGCCCAACGTAGGTAATATTTACAGACTTTAGGACCCAATGTAGGTATTATTTTTTTACTTGGATCCCTGGGGTTTAGCCAGACGTCGATAAAGCACACACGCCGTTCGTATTGGATATCGAATGTCTTCTCTACATCTTCACTAAAGAAAATAGTCCCCAGTACAAGGAATTCGAAAACCCAATCAGCGAAAAACGTCAAGAAGGCCCTAAACCCTAAATTTGAAGCCCTGAACGTTTAGGATTAAGGCCTTCGGGGTTCAATGAGCTGGAATTATGGCTTGAGCTTCATGATTTTTCGGGGAACCTAGAGATATTCTGGATTATGTGGGGAATACGGGGAGCCGGGGTGCCCTGACTATAGACTGTATACAAATCACCGGGAGAAGCTCACTTTATCTGAATGAGATTCCTTTGCAATTGCAGTAGTGTGAGGACGAGACGTTTCCTAGCAAGGTCGGCAAATACTTATTTGAGCAATCCTTTGGGCATCATTGCAGGGTGCAAGGGTGGAGGGCGTTACGGCCTCTGACATCCTCCGGCACCAGAACCCAATCAACCCTGAAGAGTAGTGGCCAGTAGCGGCCCTAAACCCTGAACCCTTGGAGCCTCAAAAGTGCTAAGTTAAAGCTCTGCACAACATAAGACTCTCTAAAACCTGGGCTGGAAAGCCCTCAGTCAAAGCCTTCAAGCTTACCTCTCCTGTGCGAGATCCCATGACAAAGGGATTAGGGGACCCAGTCTCTGCATATATCCTGTGTAGTTCCATTTTAGGTACTATATTATACAACCCCTTACCAAAATAAACAAACCCCAAAAAAGAACTACATAGGAGCCCTTGGCTACACTGATTGCAGTCAGCTGGGTCACTGCGCAAAGTACAACCTACAGTCTGAGCGGCTGCTAGCGCACGCAAATCTGAACACTCAGGACCCGGAACTGATCCACCCTTAGCCTGTGAGCTCTATGACCTCTGAGTCCTACACCCCAAACCCTTAGCCGAAATTCTAGAAGACGTCCCAAGCCCTATAATCCCAAGCTGCCTTGTTGGCGGGGTCCCTTCAACTACCCCGTCCTCACGCAGAACTTCTCCGAGATCCCGAAGCGTCTCCATGAGGAGCTCGTCGTCTGCCTTAGACTTGCGGAGGGGTTTAGGGTTTAGGGGTCTAGGGTTTAGGGGTTTAGGGTTCAGATGGGTTCAGGTTTTAGGGGTTTAGGGCTTACAGCTTACACTACTGAGTTGCTGTTCAGGAACTTATCTTGAATTACCATTATACGGGTATGTATACGGTTTAGGATTTAGCGATTAGGCGAGGCTTACCATAATATGGGTATATAGTGTATAATTGGTTTTCGATTTTAGTAACTAAAATACATGAGATTCCTTAACAGCAACCGCGACTAGGGCTTTGGGGCTAATTAAACTCAAAAACAGAGTCACAAGGCATTGTAAAGGGAAACTCGAAAAGGGCGAGTGCTCTTAGGTTAGAATACCTATTCGTGGTCACAAAACAAAGGCTTCGGAATTTTCAGTGTTTAGTGATCAAAGTTTGGTTTTGGAGGTATATTATGCAACTTATCCTACTAAATCTAAGGGTTACAAGGCTTCGGCGCCCTGAGTAAGTGCACATACAGCCGTCCAATCCTTGGAACCAATGCCCTCAAATGACCCCGCTTGAGGCTTTGCAAGAGCCCTCTCCCACGAGCAAACCAACAATGGCAGCAGACTGCGTAGAACCGATGGGGCTGCAACTTGAAGCGGGCCCTTTGTTCTTAACAGCTGTACCCGAATGTAGTATGTGGGGACTATGTAGGGATTCTATTCCCTCACCCCACCAGCCACAAGTATAAGCAACTGCAACTTATCTGTTGGATAGCTTAGGTCATGGTATCCTGATTCTAACGCGCAGTCGCAAGGTCCAATAATTCATGCAAAAATGCCACTCAATAATGGCGACAGGAATCCTCTGAGCAAACATGCGCAGACAAGCTTACGTCCTGTCGCGTTTGCTAAGCTTCGAGCACCCTAGCTACAACTTGTAAGAATCCTGTTGTAAACTGTTCTGCCAGAACATGTTGACCACTCGGGTAGCTTTAGTGAATTAGGAAGTTCTGGGCGGAATGCCAAGCCGCATTCCACAAACCTGGAGACAACAATCGTAATCCTCATCCCACTCATCCCCAAAGCAACGATGCCGGAACCTCTTTCATCCGCTTCAGCAGAATGCCTAGAAATGGCATCCCCGAAAGGCATAATAAGCACCGAACACAAGGCAGCTGGAGGAGCAGGAGGAGCAGGAGGAGGAGGAGGCGGAGGAGGAGGAGCAGGAGGAGGGGGACGAGGTTGATTGTAGTTGAAGCTGCATTTGCTGCAGCAACAGCCGCAGCTGCAGGGGGCAGCGGCGATGGCAGTGATGGTGGCAGTGTCAACACCATGGGCGAGAAGGGGTGGTAATTAGTAGAAATCATGTCCTCGTAGGAGCGAGCAAGAATGCCAGTAGCTATGATAATGACTTGCCATGACTCCCAGAAGCAACTAGTCGCAACAGGTGTCATGATACTGATCGATTCTAGAAGCATGAATAGACAGAAATATGAGAAGGCGAGTAACAAACTTGACCGGCAATCCGAAACCCTTGCCTCCGCCATGCAATTTCAGCTTTGGACCTGTGGTCTCCCCCAAATGTACACCGATCATGCACACCCACCGATGCTCTTAAAGCGCACTTCCCACACCCAAAGACAGGAATACAAAGATTGTTTATGTCCCCATGTTCCCTACTGAGGATTCTACAGGCATCAGGTGTCCTTACTAGCGGGGGTGGCTTAAACACTCCAATATGAGCTATAGTCTAAACTCTGAGTAGCCCCCTTAATACCCCCTATAATGATCTCCTATACACTCCTTATATAACCCCCTAAGCCCTAAACCCTCAAACTCTCATATGACTAGCCGCATACTTCATGGCACCCTCATCCGGTGTTTCCCAGCTAGAGGTGATAGGACGCGCCGGACTGCGTTTAAACGTCGCGACCTGAGGATGTTGATCAATCCCAGGAGCCTGACCTTTGAACCCAATAAACCCTAAGGATCTAAGTAGCCCAATGTAGGTAGTACTTACAGACTTTAGGGCCCAATGTAGGTATTGTTTGTATACTTGGATCCGTAAGGAAACCGTGTAATGGATGCAGCATGGATGTTGTGCGGTTTAGGTGAATGGCCGCTTTTGAAACAGGGAATCCGGAGCCTAAGCGATAAACTGTGAGGGCTCCTCACTTAACACTTGCCTGATGTCGTGGTGGACCACCGATCGGGGGAATGAATGATGTCAGGAAATCAAAAAGACTCGAGAAGCCTTCGTTATGAAAGGGACTCCAATGAGCTGCTATCAAGCCCATTGGCCCATTAAGGGTTCCTTAGCATGAGCTGGGCGGTTTAGGGTTTAGGGGTCCAGGGTGTCTAACAGAAATCTATGCCATGGGCTCGTGAGGCTGTGCTCCAATGGGTTCTCCCCTGTATACTACCCTATAGAGACACACATGCGGTGGATGGACGAAATCTTAGGATCCCCTGCAGTTTTGTGATGCACATACTAGGATGTCCAGGGATGTCCCTGTTTGGAGAGTTTAGCAACTTCCACCGGTGAATCTACAAGGTAGCCAGGATCCTTCGTCGCTAGCGTTTGGGATATCTAGCTATAGGGTGTTCCTGGTACCCGCTTTCTACTGGAGGATTCGGGGATGAGCCAATGCAGCCGTCACCGATAAGCGTGGGGCTTTGCAACTGCTTGGAGGTTCCGGATAATCATGCCCTGGTTTTGCATGGCTGTGGATGTGACAGTACCGCATGTATAGCTGTCGCTGTTTTGATCCTGCCAAACGATTCCAGCAATAGCGTTGAAGTGAACCTTGGTGTCTGAGGTTTCCATCTTCCTGGAAGTGCCTGATTAGATAAGATAGCGAAGAAGTTTCGACAGCCAACGGCAGCTAATGTCAGGTTCGATTGCCTTAGAAAAGATTAGTCTTTGCACGTTGCTAGATTAGTATATATCCCTAGAAATACGCAAATTAACCAGTAATGGTCGGCTCGAAGAGTATATCCCTGTGAAAGTACACCATCAAAATAGACACTATATATGTTCATGTATATATTATATATATACACATGAATATATATATATGTGTATATATACATGTATATGCATACTAATATATGTGCATGTATTATCCCAAGGCTTCTCCTACGCAACCGCTAGCCCCTGAAAGTGCTGCAAGCATGAGATTGCGGAGTTGTCTAGGATTTGGCTCAGAAGTGCTCCCAAGGGCTTTGAGAACAAAACTCTGGAACCCTGAACTCCAACTGCCGTACCTCCACATGTCTGAAGTCATAACCTCTGATTCAGGATGGGCCACCACCCGCGTCTGATGTGGCAGCGTGGAAAGATGTTGATGGCTGAAGATGAGCTCCCATTCAGTCTAGCAGGGTTGTCGTGCGCACATGAGTGTGGGATCAAAGCTTCGAGGAGCGCGTGGAAGCTGAAAGATAACTCATTCTGCTCTCCAACTGGTGATTTCTTTTGTGGAACAGGAGTCCAAAACGATGTAGAGTCCAAGCCGTAGTTGACTTACTTCAAAGTAATTGCCTAAGGCTTTTGCACAACTGGGTTAATTTTGCGCGATTGGAGCGTCCGCGCTCGCTGCAACAAACCTGTTGGGCAGACTCTTCCTGCTGGCTAGGGAAAACTCATGACCTTCAGACCAGGTTGCTTATTCGAGCCTCATTCTCCTCTGAATTTGCACTTTCTCTCGGCTGTGCCGAGCACTTCAATTCCAACCAAGCTCCACCCTGAAACACTGAGCATCTCGAATCTAGAGGATGAGCTCGAGCCGAACCAATCTACTCTGGATTAAGCCAAAATGAAGCCCTCGTGATGGGCAGTCTTCGTGCAAGGATCACAAACAGAAAGCACACACATGGGGAGACCCGACGACAATCGCTTCTCCTAGTCCGACAATTACGTGCAGGGACCATGTACGACTGTAGCTCTAATTTTGTGTGGACACCAGATTCCCTACCCAACAGAAAACCCATGTAGTAGATTCGGAGACTGGATGGGTAGAATGCTAAACTGGGACTTCATGGTCACATAATCTGAGGGGCACCCGGATGAAAAGAATGTAAGGGGCTTATGGCTTATGGTTTCCCTAGTCAAAAGCAAGACGATATGAGAATTGCTTGGTCAATTCCCATGCACAACAGGGCCCCATAACCTTGGACCCCCTTATGGAAGTTTCTGGAGAGTAGGAACCTTCGAAGGTCCGTCCTGTCTACAGACAGCCTATAGCCGGGATTAATAGAGTATGGGGGTTGTCTATTCAATATGGAAATTGCCACAAGACGCTGAGGCCCTAAACCCTAAGCCTCAAACCCTAAATGGTCCCGACAAAAGCCTCGGACTCCTGCATGAGAAGCGCCTGCTACACTGTACGTCTAAGTCGGGGCTTACTTGGGCCTATGCTTACTGGTGATTAGGAGAGAATGAGGGAATAGATTCCCTATATACCCTGTGTAAGTTATATGGTTTGACTCAAATTTCTCAGTTTCACATGAGCTATAGTCTAAACTCCTAGTATCCCTCTTAACCCCTATACTAGTCTCCTGTACAATCCCCTTCAAGGGGTTTAGACTAGACTTCACATGGCCCATGAAACATGGCTTGACAGGCCTTAAGCAGCTTTCACAAGGAATTCGGGGCCTGGACTGAGTAACGCACGGATCCATCGAACATCAAAACCATGAGATCCATGTCAAACATTGCCGCCCCGCAATCCATGGGGCGATAGTGAGCAGGATGTATTTGCAGTTGCCCGCCCTGTTTTACTTTCAAATTTCTGGGCCTAATGATCACCAATCTGATTCCAGAATCCTTGTATAGTAGATATGGTATGGTGCCTCACACAGACCTCAAAGTGATATTGGAAAACCTTGAGGCCGTAGTGTATACATCTCAAATCTTGCGCTCTGAGCTCGTCATTATCTTGCGCTTTCAGGAGACCTGCATTTACTGGCGCAAAAATGTTGATGGCTGTAGTAAGTATTTCCCACTGCATGGGGCTCTAGCCGCAGATCCCATCGACCTGATACCTGAAACAATGTCCAAGCACCCAAATAATTAGGCTTCAAGGCATCCTAGAACCCTACTATTTGCGTTTTTGGACCCTTAGGGACATAGGGGTCGTTTCTCTAGGCCCTTGTCCATAGTAGAGGCCATATGTATATGTTTGGAGCCGTAGTCACAGAGCTCCGGTCATAAATACCCAAGAATGCTCTGCACGACGCCTACAGTACATCTATAAGCCGCTCTTCAACAGCCTTAGCCAAGCCACACGTAAAGCTCTACAGAATCAGGCTATTCCTATGGAGCTATGCCCGAATCCCAGACCCTAAACGCGCTCCACCGATGTCAGAAAGAGCCTTGCCCTGCTCCCCGAGCTGTTTCATGAGAGGTTCCTGTAGGGTTTAATATAAGGTTTAGGGTACTGTAGGGAAGCTTGACTTTTTGAGCTTCTTCTGATAAAATGCTTGGTTAAGCCGGGTTTTGATTGCCAATCCAGCGGAACTGGGGTTCAGTGTGAGATTCTTCTTGGTACCTAGGACTGCTAGAATCCTGCTCCCTCATGATGCATGGGTACGTAAGTCTGTCTTTGCAGGTATGTTTTTTTGGCTATATAGAGCGGGTCCTGAAGGAGAGCCAAACAACCGAACGATTTTTGGAAACCCCCCACCCCCACAATCAGGACCCTATGACTATCATATGACTCTTTTTATGAGATCCCGCTTATGCGGGGTTCGGAATACTACAAGCCCCTTGTTGTTCTGCTACTTCAGGGTTAGTCGCACATCAGGGCCCCCATTTACACGACCCTGCAAACAAACAGTTCATGGTCTAGAAAACGAGTCCAATTAGCCCGCCCTCAACCCTAAATCATCATCCCACCTCGCCCCGTTCCTAACTAGGTACATGTAGGGCTCAGGGTCTCGCTTTACGATTCGGGATTTGGCATTCAGAGTTCAGGGATCAACGTGCGCTTGGGCGCCACAGGATTTAGGCTTCAGGGCTTAGGTTTCGGTAGCGGTGAAATGCCCTATGTGTCCTGTTGCCAAACCCCACCCCCTTCAGGAATGGCACCTCTATCTTCAGATCCAGCCGCTCCTTTACCAGCTGTGCCTGCGAGCTCCCGACCGTTATTCGGTAGTTACGCATGGAGCAGGTTTAAGGCTTACACTAAAGTGTCAGGATCAGGGTTTGACCGTTATTCGGTAGTTACGCATGGAGCAGGTTTAAGGCTTACACTAAAGGGTCAGGATCAGGGTTTTGACCTCAGGTTTTTAAGTAAAAAATACAATCATGTCACTACTCTACTTTTTCCCGTGCCCAAGTGGGATGATCAGCATGCCTTCGTTGTTGTTCTTGCGGTATGCTATGGCCGGTAGCATGCCAACCAGCGCTCCGTGAATCATGAACTGGTTATGACTCAAGTGCAGCACTTGTTCCCCACCCGCGCAGTGGGGTCGTTAGATTTTCAAAGTCTATGTTGTCCTCGCCCTCCGTGCGGGGCCTGACTGCAGTGCCCAGCCGCAGAGTATATATTCCTGCAATGCTTGGCCCCACAGCATCGCTGCAATGCTCATGGCAACGTATCCCTGCAGTGCCCAAACCCAGAGTATCTTTGCAGTGCTCAATGGCAAAGTGTCCTTGTCGTGCCCAGCCCTTGCAACGCCGAACTCCACAGCATTTGCTCTTGCAGTACCAAACCGCAATATTGTTGCCGTGCATTTGCAGCGCTGCAAGGAAGACAGTTTACGGGGCGGGCTTGGAAACAGTACATTTCTTGTGCAATAACAGCTTTAGGGTGGGGATGCTCGAAGTAAGTAATGAAGGGTGAGTTGATTTTGTTGGGGAGAAGTGCAGAAAGTCTACCTAAACTGGGCAAGGACGCCAGCCAAAGTTTCACTTAGCCGATCTCCATCCATTTTTTCATTCTGCAGCAGACACCTTCCGACCAATACTGTTCACCCTGTAAGCGTGGTACTGGAATGTCTGCTGGAATTTCCGTAGGGTTTGGGGTGTAGGGTTTTGGGGCAGAAGTTTCTGCTGTTGGGAGCTACTCCACAACATCATGGCAAAGGTGTGAGGATTCTCTAGTGTCAAGGCCTTCTTTGGAGGCTGTAGGCCGAAGTATGTCCAAAATTCGGAGTCCCAGAATGGGGCTATTATGAGAAGGCCCCTGCATGCAAAGGATCCAACTACCTCAATCTGACGGTCAATCCCTGAACCCTATGCCTATCAGATCATAGCAGCCAGCCGTCAAATATCGGTTGCTTTGAGAAGCAAGGAAAGGCAGCTGCCGACCTACTGCAGGAAAGAAAGCTGACAATCAGCAAGCCAGACCCCAAATTGCGAAACGTGATCTAGGAGCGAAGACTGGCGCCCAGACTGGATGCACGCACTGATGGGCACCCTTCTGGTTTGGACGTGGATGCTGTAGTGAACGGATTCGCTCGGGTATGGGCGTTAAATTTGGACTTGTTGTGCTGTGCGGCACGGGCGATATTGTGCTTTGCCACTCATGCTGTGGGAACCGGGCGTGCTCGAACATGGAGGCGAATGTGGCTTGGGCATGGGTGAACCCTAAACCCCTAACCCTAAACCCTTGGGGAGTGGATGCAGCTTCGGCACTCACGCTCTGAGGATCGGCTGGGCTCGAACAGCGGAACACGGAACAACATGGGAGTGCCAGGTTTGAGGGTTTGTAAGGTTTATAGGGTGTAGGGCCAAGCTGCAGACCCGTAACCGTCTGAAGAGCATGTCCAGCAATGGCCTTCACACTGCCCTCCACAGAAGCATCAGCAAATAGTGCCTGGGCTCAGGGAAATCTAAATCATGAACATTCCCACCTACCAACAATAGATGTTCCCTCAGCATATGCTAATGCCATGTTGGGAGCACTCATGATTGCGGAGTGGGTCCTTTGCAGCCTGGGATGCGATCATTGCTTTGGATCATGCCTAAACTCTTTGGGTTTAGGGTTGGGGTTCATCCCTTGGGTGTGCCCTACTTCCCCTACCAAAACATACCCCCAGGGGGGATATGAGCTATAGCCTCAACGCCTGGTATCCCCCTTAATAGCCCCTATAATACTCCCCTAACCTCCTTTGAGGAGTTTGGACTATAGCTCATACAGCTCGGGACATGCGTAAGACAAGGGTAGCCCTTCGGGAGGGATATATGATATATGGTAGTTTCCCAAAATGGGAGGACAATATAGACCCCCCAATAATCTAATCCTCATTATAAGGGCCGCCAAGCTGGTACCCCTATTTTGAGGAAACCCCTAACTAAACCCTAAAACCTATACATCCCTAAATATGACCCCTATAGGCCCCTTTTGAAGGCACCTGCTCCCGAATGTTAGGAAACCCCATATGAGATCATGAGGGGAGCGTGTCCAAAAGGATGATGCGGATAAGAATAGAGCGGTTCAGAGTTTAGGTTTCAGGGTAATAACACTAGTTATCATATTAACGAAGTAGTAGTAATGACTGTAATGGAAATTTTAAAAATGGTAACTATCGGAATACATTAGCAAGAGTAGTAGTTGTAGGTCCAAATTGTAGGTATTTCTTCGCAAACCCTATCAACACCAAATTTGGCGTGCTGACGCCCTGTTAGAGCCTTGGAAATTGATCTTGGCATATCTGTTTGCTTCGATAATTTATATTCACTCAGGTAGCTGTCTGCTGACAGGAACCTGTACTAGACTTACTTAGGAGTTGTTCTAAACAATCCTTGGAGTCTCCTCATGGAGGACGCCTAAAGCCTGCACCAGCGCGATGACAGGCACTTCATGACTTTTCTGGTTAAAATTGCTCTTGAAGAGCCATCAGGATTAATTCGAACGACTCTACTTCGAAGTCCATTCAAGTTGTAGTCACAGATCTTGTTTTGCTGCGAACGCTGACAAATCGTAGAGTTATAAACCAAGAGTAGGGTTTTCAGACCAGCGACTCCTCTTGCCACAACCACGGGCAGTGGATCTAGGAAGCGTGCCTGTCCGGCAGGACTTGGAGCTCTGTGTGGCTGAACTCAAACTGCCACCAACTCATAGGGGTTTCCCAAAATTAGAGGGAACCCTTTTGCGGTCTCTATAATAAGGATTCTAATATTTTGGGGATCTATATTGGGGTCCCCCTATTCAGGGAAACTACCACATGAATCGAGTGCCAGTTCAGTGTGTGGGGCAGGGAGACCGTAGCACAGCCTTACCAACCTAGGACAAACAAGAACAACAAGTTCCGCATCGCACATAATGTGGGCTCAGGTCAACAATCCGACGTTTACTTTTCAAGCTTCAGCATTGCTTCAGCCACCTTCCGGGCCCCTGTGCGCCTCCAGGAGAGATGCTGACATGTAGGGCGTACCTGCAGGGCTTGGGGTATGGGGTCTACGTTTTGTAGGTGTTGGGCGTCACATGCTTGAGGAAGGCAGGGGATGTGGAGATCATCCCTACTGCCCTGTATGGATAAGATAAGAATGGCAATGACGGTGATTGACTCCCAAACTACTACCGTCCGGGAAACTAACACAGAAACCTAAAAAAGGGCCCTATAAAGACTACAGTCCCTTCAAAGGGGGCCTAGATGAGTTTGCATGTTAGTTTGGGGCAGTGTATGTCAGGGGCTGAGGAGTACATTTAATGAACTCTAGTGGTTCGGGGTGCCTGCATGCTAACACCCTAAATTCTAGACCTTAAACACCGTGGCAGTCCTAGTTGTGTTGCGAATAGCTAGGACTTGGGGGCCAGTTGTGGAGTGGGGTTTAGGGTTTAGGGCCTCAACCCTAAGCACAACCTTTTGCCTTGCCTTGGAGGATGGCATGGCAAATGGCAAGCCCTCAGGCAACCCCTAGGGATCCACAAAGCTTAATCATGAATCCTATACACCAATATCAAATTCAGTTAGGGTTATATAGCTATTATACAGGGTGATATAGCGTTTATATAAGGATAATGGAAAACGAAAGGGAAACTACATATAATTCAGTTCCCATTTCATGCTCCGTTTCGTGTCACTTTGATTCTCCATCAATGGGGGGAACTACACTACTCCCAGGGGTCTCAAACTGCAGCAAAGAAACCATCTGGACCTGCCTGGTCCCATCGGTAAGGCACAGTGCCCAGCGCGTGGCTGACGCGAAACTGTGTGTACCTTATTTGGATTGTGCCAAGTTGGGTTGCGGCCATACAGCTGTCTTCGCCTTTCTATGCACTTGCAATCTAAACCCCTGCTTGTCCCTCCTTCAAGGAGTCCAGACTGCAGCTCATATGCTCTATAGGCCATTTGTTACTTCCCGGTTTTCGCTGGGATCATATAGAATTATAGAAAGGAGGCCAACAGTTCTTTACCTCATCATGCACAGATACACACCTGTATCTGGGCTTGGCATGTGCTATCAAAGGTTTGCTTGGTAGTTGGCCCTCGGCGCGTATTCTGCCACAGCGCCTATCTAGCACATCCGATACCCGCCGCATGCCCGCGCTTACCATAACAACATTCATCCCCAATGAGAATTGCAATGCGTGTGCCTACTGAGCGCATCCGATTCACCCTGAACCACAACGTCACATTCGGCCCTGAGAGCATCCTTTGAGCATCCATGCCGACATATTACGCTCATCGCTTGCTGAGTACACTTACCCAAGCATCCATACCCCAACCATGATAACGGTCATCTTCTACTTAGTGGGACTCTGCTCAACGGAGCATGCATGCCAAAACCATAACAAAGCTCATCTCCTACTAAGTGCGATTACCAGAACATCCATGCCCAAAACATGATAACGTTCTACGCCCAAACCATATAATGAAGCACTAACTAATTGATTAATGTTCACCCCCTAGAACATCGAGAGCATCCGCTTACCAGAGCATCCATGTCCAAACCATAAGTAAGTTCATCATTTACTGAGTGCGATTACCAGAGCATTTATGCCAACACCGTGCTCGCTCATGCCGGAGAGCATGCGATCACTAGAGCATCCATACCCACACCAAAATCACCTTGATCTCTTGTAGAGTGCGCAGAGCATCCAATTTGGTGTTCCAACTGCCTTTGCTAAACGCACTGCAAACTCTGCTATAGAAACAACAAGTGTTCTCTTCTCGCAGGTTTCGTGTGGGAATTTACACAGTGCGAACCTGCTTTCGGCCTTTGTTTCGAAACGGGGCAAAGAGCCCTTCTGTCCTGCAATTTTGAGCACAAAGTACACTTTTGCATGTAAAAAGCACAGAAAAAGGCTCAGGCAACAAATCAGTGGAGGCACTGAAATATTGCAAATTTCTGCACGAACTTCTTGTCGTACAAGCCTATGCTCGTCTTTAAGTCCCCGAGGACACCTCGCAGGATATGGTGCGATCTAGCTGCTGCTGCTAGATGGCTGGCTGCCCTTGACTTGCTGCAAAGTCGCCTGGGGTGCCTTGCCCGCTTGTGGCTCCTGTCACCTCAAAACTTAAGTAGTAAAAGGTTTGAGACTGTTGTATAATGGAGGTACTGGTGTGATAGCGTTGAGGGGGTACAACCTCATGTGAGGTAAGGCCCTCGGTTCCTCAAAAGAGTTGTGCAACAGGAATCATGAAAAACGAGTATTTTAATGGCAGTTGCACGTAGCGTGATTGTATCTAGCCTAAACACGAAACTCTAAACCCAAAACATGAAACCCCAAACCCTAACCCCAAAACCATCAAATCGCTCAGCAAATTCCTAAGCCGTTAGGACTGGGCACATAGCTGTCCAGTCGTGTTCGGAGCTCTCCGTCCTTGGATGATCCCCACATAGCTAAGGCAGAAAAGTCTATTGATACATCTGATAAATCAACCTACCTAGACCTTGCATTTTTGCACCTTATTCGTTCGAGGGTCACGGGAGGTTTGGGTACATTGTGCCCTAAAGTCTATAAATGTGTGGGGGGTATGGTGTGCCTGAATGTTGTCAAGGCACAAGTTAAACTTGATTGAGCTCAGGTATGCTCGGGTAGACATTGACATGGAACATGTCACGTATGCTTGCCATTGCGTGGTTGGTGTTGTTCTTGTCAAGAACATGAAATTTGGGCAGCGGCACCACCAATTACAGCCTACCCACAATGCCCTCCACACGGGCCAGCAGTAGTGACTGTGCATGCCATGTCGGATGAACTAAACGCGGTTTTCCGCAAATAGAGGGCCTCAACACAGACGGCTCTGTACCGTCAACTATAACCCTTACTACGGGAACCCCAAACAAGAGCCCTCAAATTTTGGAAACGAAAAGTGAATGTCGCATGTCGGATTGCGGATCCCTGTTTCCGCCTCCCCTGGTTGGGGATGGTATCAATGTGTCTTCTGCTATGTAGGTACATTCCAAAACGCTTGTTCTTTGCATGATGGTAAGTATATGGGGCCATCGGTGGATGCCGAGTCAGCGTAAGTGATCACCAGTAGCGAGCATAGATGGAATTGCACAGGCACTTATAGAAACTGCCCGTTATGCATAAGCAATTCCATGCGAAGCAATTGATCCACGGCTTTTCGGCAGTCGAGGATGGTTCGATGGGTGGCTGGCCGGGCGGACGAGGAATCCTTCTATCAAGAGGCACCTGTAACGTGAGGACTGAGTTACAAAAGATTCTTTTTCTGGATGGTTGAGGCGAGTCCCATTCCTGGTCGTTTGCTGCAGCCTGCATTCGTTGGTTCTTTATATGGCTCTACACGATGCTTCTCCATTGCCTCATTTAGGCTACTTGGCTTTTAGGCTGGTTTATGAGAGCTGCAAGTTGATCTTCGAAAGGCGGTACTATAGGGTGCAAGGCTCTGGTTACAGCAAACAGGCCTACCTTGAACCTGCTCCTGACACTGAACACCTGCCCCGAGAGATAACACAACACCTACACAAGGAGCCAGAAAACATGTGTAGGGAAAAGCCTCAGTGATGGACAGAAAGCCCAATATACCAACGAAAGAAAACATGTTAAATGGTACGAGCATCAGACATACCACAATATTTTATAAATATATACATATATACGCACATGTACATAGCAGTACATTCCCAACCCTGGGTGATAGGAGGAGGTTCTCGGCCATCAGGCTTTCAGGCCTTCCGGCTCGAAAGCAATACCATCCCTAAATCCTAAACCCTCTTGCGCAAGAGGCCACCCCTAACCCCGAAACCCTAAACCCTGTTTGCAGCCCTGGGCTAATAAACCTGCCTCCTGGAGAGGTATACAAGGAGTACCAGATTCAGGAAGTCCTGGGTTTGGGGTTTAGGGCTTCGGGGCTTCCACGTGCTAGAGGGTCTGCCGAGTTAAGGGTATACCCCGATACTCTAAGCCCTAGCTGGGTAGGCTGCAGGCCTTGAAGGCATATGGTCTTGCTGGGGAAAATAGGGAAGAAGAAACTATACTCCCTATATATTAGGATATATTAGGGTTCTAGTAACTCAGTACCTAAATAATGGGTTTGGGGGTCTATATAACATAGCACCGTAACCTACTATTTAGGTAACTGGAAGCCCCAGTGTAATATGTTCCCTTATGCCCTACCAAGATCCAATAAGTACACGTTGTGCTGCGGATCGCCAACCTTCTGTACTCGTTGTACTCCTTCAAGTCCGCCTCCGAGCCAACGACCTGCTGCTCAGCTTCAAAAAGGCGCACTATGCATAAAATGCTATACCCCAAAAGGAGGATATAATCTTACTCTATATTCCCAAAATAAAATACTACTCAGGTGACCACATGCCCTTCAAGATGTTCTTACAATGCTTAAGGGGATGTGAGGAACTCTATAGAGGTGAGCTCCTCGTCAAGCACTGTAAGGCTTCAAGAATGAAGGCTTCGGGGACGGGGTCCATCCACCGTCTTAAGCTTGCTGGACTTACGAGAGGAAGAGCAGCCTAGAATTCAGGAACAAAAGCTCTCTCCCGCAATATCGCACACATGGCTACTAAGCTGGGGAGACCTCCTGCGAGATGGGTATGGCGGCTGGGTGGGGGATTGCAACACACCAGGGCCAACTGGCGACAGGACAACCAACAAGCGCGAGCAAGTTTAGCTAATCGAAGTTCCCTACTTTCGGAAGCTTCACCTCTTTCATTGATATAGTTTGAGATTCTCTGCTCAATTGACGTGTGCGGTACCTTACACTCGACAATCTGGATACATGAGAACTGCCGCGTATTTTGAATAGCCGGCTCGAGGCAGCAAGGGTGGATTGAAGAAGTGGGATGCCAGGCAAAACCCTAAGGGTCAAAGTGCCCTAATATAGGGCTGTATGTACCCTGAAGCCTTACTATTTGGGTACTTGGACCCTTAGGGAGAAGCTATAACCCACGCAAAACGTCTGGATAGCAAATGTCTCCCCGCGCCTCATCTTTACAAATGATCAGCTGACATGCCTTTCCTCCGAAGAGTCGGCAATGCGAGACAGGTTTCCAATCAATCACTAAACCCTCAACTGATACAGCTATGCGTTATACCGTTATACCCCGAAGACTCAATCAGGAACGCTGTCCAACCCAACCCACGCCTTGTAGACAAAAGCCTTGTCGGGAGGCAAGACGAGTTCCTGGTGCATGTGTTTGTATGCATGCGTATGCATATGCAAATAAGTATACAGGCCGGTTACATAGTCGTGGCACGGCCCTCCTCAAATGCCTGGCCTGCTACAAGAAAATCCTGACATGTTTTTCCATATCTCAAGGTTCCGGCTGAATAGGGCGAGCTGCCGAACTAACTACGCACACGAAGTGCGAACCCCAATCGTTTAAGTCCTATAAGACAAGGGTCACTTCTCGGGGCCCATGATCTTGTGAAAGCATTCTCGCACCTACCTGGACTTTGGAAGTGATGTCGTGATGCTTTCCATTTCTATGCCCTAAACCCTAAACCCTTAAACCTAAACCCTTAAATGCATCATCTGGGGGAGTCAGAGTTGTACAGGTCAAGCTGGTGCAGTGCTGCTTGCGTTCAAGTACTGTCACACCAAACGGCTATCCCTTAATCCCTACAAACCCATATCCCCAGACACCTAGCCGGCAAACCCCTACCCCTATACAAGCCGAATATTTTCAATTTTAAGAGTTTCCATTCTATTTTCCATTATCCCCTATATTACCCCTATAGAACCCAAATATAACCCCAGTCTTCGGTCCTTAAAACCCTCAGTGCTGTGACAAACATTAGGACATTGCAAAGTTGAGGAGCCATAGTGATGGTTCTTCTGAATACCAAGAAAATGGAAACCACTACGTTATACATATAGGTGTTATGTAGGGGTTATACAGGGGATATATTGAGATAATGGTAAAGGACATGAAATCTACAATATTACATATGAGGGTTTTCTAGGTCTAGGGGTTATATAGGGGATATACTGGGATAATGGAAAAGAAAATGGAAACTCCTATCCTCTAAAAGGCTGCGAATCTTTTATTGAGACGCTCCACGGTCACTTGAAACAGAATCCATAGCGGGCTCCGCAGCTGAACTCCTACTGAGCCAACACTCTGCTCCAACAAAAGCAGATCTATCCTTTAGTACATCAATCCTATGACGCCGTGTGCCCTTCTTGCGGGGCTTATGATAAGGAGACGCTGAAATCTTGTGCTCGCAGCCCCGAACCCCGGACGTCGTTGAGGGTTCAAGGTTCAGAGCGTTGAAATCTACCCGGATCTTCTGGCAACGGCCTTGAGTTTTGCTTGATTCGGTAGTTTTCCAAAATAGGGGGATCCCAATACCATAATCCCTCTTCTGGGAAACACCAAAAATGTACACCTAATTTTGGGAACTCCCGATTTAGGGGCCGCTCAAAGATAGCGTCCTGAGGGATCCTCGGATATATGGGGTTTTGCCACAGTTAGGCGATTTTGGCTTCTATATTTGGGGCCCCCTTATTTATGGAATGGAAACTGCCATAGGGGGAGTATACGCGGAGTTTAGGCCTGCCTCTGAAGGATTGCAGCCTCAAAGCACGTGACCATTCCCCTAAATCCTAAACCCTGGGTGTTTTAACACCCTTTGCAGCCTATGTAGCCCTAGTCGGGCCAAGAACCGCATGTCAAGGAGGACGTTCGCAGAAATTATGATTACCTGTTTTGGGAAGCTCTATGAGGATTAGCGTATGTTGGTTTATAGTAAGAGGGGACCCTTGTTGGGGCTCCCATGTAGTGGTTTGGCCTCTGCGTTTCTGATGCTGAGTATACAACTGTCTGTGGGCTGCAGTCTGTGGTACGTAGCACCATTCTGATCTTTGACCCTGCGGCATTGAACGCATCATAATCCACTTACTGTATCCCTGTCGCGCGAATTAGACTGTCCGAGACTAAGACCGCAACTCTTTAAACGAAAGGCACGCCTAACTCAAGCAAACTTTGCATCCTGAGTGTTAGGCCAAGCTCATCAAGCTTATTGCAGGTAGGTAGGTAGGTAAATAAGTAAGTAGCTTGGCAACGCTGCTCAGAAAACAAGGAAACGCCGCCTCAATTCGGGTGTCTGAAGACACATCTGCTGGTGCTTCCATGGCTCACCAAATGGCAAGACAGGTGTCAATCAGGGCTCAGGGTGTCGTGTTTGAATTCAGAGATTAGGGTTGAATGTGCGTGGTTTCAGCCAAACACCTCAGTTGCCCTTCGTACTACGAATGACAAGTCATGGCAGACTTAGGAGGCTCTGCAATGCAGAGCAAAGCGCGCTGGGGAATGGCCTTGTGCAAAAACTTCCTGAACCTAAATAACCTACAGGCTGGTTTGGAAATATCTGCTCCCTAAACTTATCTAGTA